TTTTTGAAAAAAATTTAAAAACATAAGTCACGAGTAAAATACTATTCATGTTTTATCATCTCATAACAACAAAAATACTAATTATAAAAAGTTTTCAAATAAGACGGACGATCAAAATTGGACACGGAAACTCACAGTTGCACTTAAAATGGGACGGAGGGTGTACCTACTTTTTAATAACCGTGTCCAAATCTAAAACTTTTTATATTCTGGAACGGAGAGAATAGAAGTTTTTGGACATAAAAGCACCAAGGTAAGGACAATTTAGCTCGAACTGTTTGTCAGTGACCGGTTCTGATTACTTCATGTTTGAGTAGTTGTCAATTACTAATCAATTAGATTTCCTACCTGTCTTTCACGATTTCATTACTAGTAATAAAGGCTTGCACAAACATATCTACCTTTAACAATGTAACAAGATGGATACGAAGTGCATGATTAATTCCTGATTCCCTCGGGATTTTGGGGGTGGGGATGGGAAGGGAGCCTGCAGGGGGGTGGGGGAGTACGAAAAAGGTAACTTAACTGTGACGGTCGTTTCCTAGCATCGGCACAATGTACATGAAAAATCATTTATGATGCCATGAGAAACAGCTACACATATGTTGATACTGGACCTGGCACGAAGGGTTAAGAGAGATCAGTCAAAGATAGAAGAAATAGATACACATTAGTTGATAATAAGGGATATATGCCTAGCATGCATTGTATGGTTACTGACACTTAACGTGTCACACATACACAACGCATTATGCGATCATTAATTAGCTTACTAGAAGAGGAATGACATCGAGCATCACCTTGCTACCTAACACATCATCCATTCATGAAACTTTACAAGAACACAATCAACAATTTTGTAATGCTATATATCTTGCTGTGCTTCCTTTCTCACAGGAATACACATATGTAATTAAATGGTAGAAACCTTAATTTGTTGATATTCAATTAAGTATGTATGCACGATGGAGTTTTACATGCCAAACACTACATACATTGGACTGGTGCATACATATATACACCAACTTATCAGGTTCTCAATGACTACACATTTCATGTGATCATGTCTCATCTCCCTTAAATACATAATTCTCCAAATGCCTAGGGAGATCAACTATACGTGAAACTTTCTTGGCAGTGAGCCAGTGACCCCACAATTGCGTAGTAGTACCAATATGGTTTTTTTTGCACCCTGCAGATTGCATCTACTCTAGCTAGCTAGCTACTACTCATTAATTCTAGCTATTCCCATCAGGATTGTGGACGTACTATCTGTACCAAACCCTTGCTACTCTAGTAGTTTTTATCTACACATACCCTATATCCGTATACATAGCCAAATTATGTCCATATACATAGCTAGGATTTATTTTTTCTTCTGACTATGAGTGTGGACAACCAAATGTTCAGATTTATAGCTAGAGTTTGATTATTTTTTTTCCTGAGACGAAGGGAGTATGTAATTTGGGCTTGATCCCCAGGCTAACTCGGACCCATAATCCTAATTAGAATATATATGACAGTTCCACGGAAAGTTTGGAAATATATAATATAACATATGGGTCAGCAATAGGTTTGAGAATTTCCTGGCTCGCCCCTGTATAGTGTAGTATGACAGGTATATACAAACTTTAACTACAAAAGTATTATATGCATACTCCATTTAAAAAGGTTGAAACTATAGATAAATACAATTATCTACATATCATAAATGGATAAAACTATTACTATAGATTGTCCTCTCAATCTCATACATGTACATGCATGCATGTTACTATCATCTATTAATGCAATCTGAAGTAGCATAAACAACCAATACCCCACTTAATTTATCATTTTTAGTAGATTGAGTATTTACTAGTTTGAACACGTGTTGCATACCGGCATGCATTTTGTAAAACAAACAAATATGGCTTTTATGGATCAACACCATTTTTTCATATTTTTTTGAGAAATATATTGTCAAATATATATATTGTGTGCATGGGAAATCACATCATCTAGAATATGTTGAACTATACAGTATACTGATACGAGCTATGTAAACCATACTTATATATTAACATAGAAAAGAAGAAATAAGTGCATTAAACATGATACATAATTTGCATATATGTAGTTCCAGGCTTCCAGCATTTCCATAATTATGTTACAAATGCATATTGAAATCAGTATTGTGCATTAAGCAGTGTGCAGACAACCACCAGCTGTTTAAAAGTTGATACATAGATAAAAATCATAGGCTAGATCTATTAACCACTACACATGACATTGCTTACATCTTCCACTACTAGTTCTGGCATATTCAGCAATAAAAACCTTTCCTCATATATGGATGAAGAATCAAGAAAAATGAAGAAATATGCACAAATAATTTCTTGAAGATGATTAATTAACACATGTGTTTCACTGTAGATAGTCCATGCATGTAATACGGTTGAGTGTTGTCCCTTTTTTTTTTCCGTCTAGCACTATCAAAAACTCCCAACACATTTCGTTCTCCAACCTCCAGCAAAATTGTAGCATGTAGTCAACAATGCTAAAGTCTTACTACCAACACAGCATATGACTCTTCTATCAAAAAACAAAATGTTACATATCTATCTATATATAGACACCTGACTGGATTTAGAAAATCAGTAACAAACTTGCTGCGATATAACAAAGACTTTTTGTTTTTTTCTAAAAAAACGAATTAATTGTGTTGTTTGAGAAGAGAAGGTAATTAATTACTTAACTAGTAGTAAATCTAAAACCTTAGTTCCCTATGGTTGAAGATGTGCCCAATTATAATAATCCCCATGCAAAGGTTTTCCGTCGATTTCCGTATGATTGGCTCCTGACAGTAGTTGAATTGCAAGCTAGTTCAGGCAAGTCATTGTTTATGACGTTTTCATGCAAAACAATGCAGAGAACTTCTGAACTCTCTTTCTGCCTTCGAAAATCCAATCTTCTAAATTGATTGCATATGACTTCTAATTGTTCGGTCTTAGGGGAAAAATACTCTCTTTTTTCTGAACTAACTGACTTTGTATATTAAGAAAAGGAGAGAGCATATATATTATTCTTTTACTTGAATATATCTATATATGTTTATGCAATTTATTTTTAAATATAATAAATTAATGAATTGCGCAATTGATGCAAAAGTGATATGAGTTAGTTCTCTGACAAAATTATGAGATAAGAGATACTTGAGTTTCTCATTCTTATCTAGACCAACTATACAAAATAATATATGTACATATTTTGTGATTTACCACTATTAGAAGATTACACAGAAGTGAGTCTATACAAAGTGGCACACGTTTCTTCTTGAGTAACTGTGAATGGAGGAAGGAAGCACAGCAAAACAATCTAGATATGCACTAAGAAACTACTAGTATGTTGGATGAATGAAAAGGTATATATATACATATATTGAGAAGGATAATTTTACCATTCTTGAAAATATATCGAGAGATACCATATTTTTTTAATACAAAACATGGTACCTCCATATTAGATACCTCAAGATACTTTCTCAAAGATAGTCAAATTTCTCTTGTTTCCTAAAGACCACACCAATCAGGTGCGTCAACAAACATCATGTGGAAGAAATAAGCTTGATTGCAGGTTCAACATGGATGGAGTGAATGGTCAGAAAAGAAAACGAAGAGAAAAACCATGCAATGGAAAGGAAAAACAAGTAGACACATATACATATAGACAGTCTCGTTCTCTGTTTTTTTTTCTTTTTACCTCCCCATAACTCCCCACTCCTTTTTCCAGCATACAATGGACCAAAAGTACTTTTGTAAGCAGGCACAGCATCTATATATCTATTCTGGCCTTACCTGTGCAAAAGGATCCCCATCCTACACCTTGCTAGTTATGGATACCTATTGCCGAGTCAGTGGGTGTCATTGCCCCCGTTGCTCCCAGCAAACATACACGCCGTACCTACTCACTGCAGTGAAAAGGAGAAGAGGGAGAAGAAAAGAAAATTTGTGTGTATACATAAACGCACACACATGCTCTCTCTCTTACTGATTCGTACACAAAAAGGACAAGAACAGAATAGCAACCAAGACTACTTCTGCAAGAGATGTGTACATCTACGCACAACACTGTTCCTACTCCTACAGCAACAGTAAGAAGTTAGAACTGAGGTCCTCCTCCCCCATAAATTCTTAAGAGACGTACAAAGAAGTTAAGGCCAGTTGCAAGTGCCCGGTGCCCCTCTTTACAGACTGCCAAGACCATAAAGAACTCTTGGAGTGTATGCCACTCAAGGCCCAGACAATCCAAACTAGACGTAATTTGGCCCACTGTGGGGGTTATTTTTTTGTTCGACTTGGGTAAAAAACACAACAGAAGGAGAAAAAAAAAGTTAATTTGTTCTTCCTTGTGCATGCCTACCACATGATCCATGCCATCGATCGTGATCAAACAGATGGTACATATTATAGTATCTATGGACAGAGAATTGAACGAAAAGACTTCAGCACACCGGCAAAAAGGCATGAAGATGAAAACAATGCCAGCATTCAGCGCATACTAAATGTAAGAGATGACGAGAAGTGAAGTACAAAGAATGGAAGAGATAATTTAGAGTTTAAAGGGCTGACCTGAAGTACCAGAAGTGTCTTATCTCCATATGTATATGCATGAGGACTGGAGTGCTGTTCGCAGCTCCCTTAATCTTCCGTCAATGTGGTCGCCTTGTCTTTCGGGAATTGTGTTGCCACTTCAATCTAAGAGGATAGTAGAGAGATCGCACAAATATATATATGATGCAATAAGGACAAGCATATGGCACTTTATGGTGATATGATTCAGATCTTTGAAGCGTAAAGCTTTGGGGGTGCAAATTTGGAGGTGTGTTATCATATGTAAGGGTAAAAAGGATTCACCTTCCAAGCTGCCGAGGAATCACCCAGTAAAATCGGGATGGGAATATAACAGCACGAAGAAATAAAACGCAATAGTACTTTGGTGCTTGAATAAGAAGAATGAGATATCTAAACCCAAATAAAAACATTAATAATTCATTAATTCGCCTAATTTTTCTCTATATATTCTCAAACAAACATAAGAATGTGAATGGCCAAAAACAAAAAAGGAAACCAAAAGTTATGCTAACTCTATGATCAAAGTTATGATGGAGAATTGCAAAAGGTGGAGAAGTAGAAGAAGGCAGCAGACGGAAGATGGATTTTTTGAACTTTCCTTTGGTACGCTCCCGATCGATCGAGGTGGCCTGATCCCTCCTTCACAGATCGAGATCCAACGAGGAGTGCGCCTCTCTCTTGGATGACGACGATGACGACGGCGACGACGCGGCAGAGGACTCCGCTCCAGCTGCACCAGCCGGCATGTGTGGAGGCAATTCCAGCGACCTCAATGGTGCAGGCCTTTGCCACCCGGGCATCCGTAGCGACAATGCATTGGCGTCGTGGCCGCTCGACGACTGGCCGCCGTCCGGATGTGGGTTATCGAGGTTGACTCCGAACAGCCGGACGCGCTTCGATGCCGCCGCTGGGTTGTTGACGTGCGGCACCGAGTCGACAACCATGGGCAGGCCGGCGGTGACTACGGGGCTCGGGTGGTGCACCGTAATGTGGAGTTGGTGAGGAGGCGGAGGTGGCGACGGCGGCGGTGGCAAGGGCGGGTGCTGATGAATCCCCGTCCCTGGGGAGCCGAAGAAGACGAGCTGCCTCGCCGGCACAGCGGGGTTGATGTTGCGGAAGTCGAAGCCCTGGCGAAAGCGGTGATGCTCGTAGAGCGTGGCGGGCGGCGCGGGCGGCATGAAGAAGCGCCCGCGCCGCCGCCCCACGGGCCGTAGGGCGAGGTCATGGGGAGCGGTAGGCGCTGGAAGCGGTGCGGGTCGCGGACGTCGGCGCGGCGCTTCCAGTCGATGAAGAGGCGGTCGCGGGTGGCCTCGGCGGCGCCGCGGCAGAAGGAGACGGTGTCCCCGGCGTCGAGGCGCTTCTCCTTGACGAAGCGGCTCCAACCCTTGGTCATGACGTAGCTCTGGCTGCTGTTCCAGTAGGAGTAGCGGAAGCGCCATAGCTTGCCGGTTCGGTCCTCGAAGCTGAGGAGAAGGCCCTTCTCGTTCGCCGCCGAGTCCAGCGGGAAGTACTTCTCGGCGTGCTGCTTCGGGATCACCAGCCGGTTCAGCTTCCCCACGTCGCTCGGCGTCACCACCTTGTCGAACATGTGCTCCTTCTCGATCACCTCCACGTCCTCGCCGCCACCGCCGCCGCCACTCCCCGACGCTCCCGCACCGTCGCTCGACCGGAAGGGAGAGCCCGACGCCGACGTGGACGCCGCCGCGGAAGCGGTGGCGGAAGGGGAGACCGATGTCGGGGAGGACGATGAGGCGGTGGCCGCCGCCGCCGCCGACGTCATGAAGGGGATCTCGCGGGGCGAGGCCTCCGCCTCCTCCTCCTCTTCATCCTGCTCCTGCTCCATCTCCTGTTCCCCTTCCTCCTCCTCCTCCTCTTCCTTGGAAAACCTACTACTCGTTGTAGCAAACTCCATATATATCTAGTAGATACTACTACCTCCCCCTAGCGGCGGCGCCCTCCGCTCCGCCTCTGCCTCCGGCGTCCACCTCGATCCCGTCCCCTTTTCCAGCGTGCCTCCGTCGCACGCGGCGTGGAGATGTGATGGCGATGCGGTCGTCCCGCCGGCGCGGCGCGCAGCGGGAGGGGGCCGGGAGAGCGAGCGAGCGAGCGAGAGAGAGATAGGAGGAGAGGAGACAGGGAGAGTCGGAGAGAGAGAGGAGGACGGGATCTATCTCCCAAGCCGTGGTATGGTACGAGCCTATCTATCTCATCTATCTATCTACCTACCTGCGCGCGCCGCGCCGCGCGCGTGTTTGCGTGTGTGCGCCCTCTCGCGTCGCGTATGCGAGAACGAATTTTGACCGGCTCGGAGACGACACGAGCGCGCCAGGCCCGGCCGGGGAGGAGGAGGCGATTTCATCTAATCTAGCCAATCCAGCGCCACAGCCAGAGAGGAGGGATGATGCGGGCTGCTGCTGCTGCTGCTGCGGCTCGCGCTGGCATTGACCGGCCTGCCTCGCGCGCGCGCGTTTGGATCTTGCTGCGAGCGAGCGCGAGGGAGGGGTTGGGGGTTGGGTTTTCGATCGGCGTGGTGGGGTGCGCGCGGTGGGAGAAGAAAGGAGGGGAAGCTACTAGGCCGGGCAGGGCATGTAACTGCAGCCCGGTAATTAGGTAATGGGAATTGATGGTGCTGCTTTTTACCTTTTTCTGCTTGTTGTTTGGGTAGGCTTGTGTGAGGCTGTGTGAGGAAAGCTGCTGCTGCTGCTTCTGCGCCTGCCTGCGCTCGCGTTCCGGCCCACCGGTGGGAGATGGGGAGTGGAAGCGAAGAGTGCGCCGAAGCGATGTGGAGGGGGAGGGTGTGAGGGACTTGCCCTAGAAGATTCCTGGAAGGTGACTGTGGATTGCTAGCACTTGCACTTACATTGGATTAGTAATCTATATTAGGAGTATTGTATCAGCTGGTCCTAATTCTGCCTCTGCCATCGTCTGTATTAATTTCGGTCTTGTGTAAAAACCTAGGATTCACGCGCGCTCCTATCCAGTACGTGATGCAAAGCTGTATTAGCCACTGATGGTCACATGATTCGCGGTTATAAAAATGTCTCCAGTGATGCGCCATCATTTGCAGTAGCATATAAATATGAAATGTTCTTTCAGAGAGCAACACCCGTGTGGTCCATCAGGGGAGCACACTTTCTCCCTTGACCGTAGCCACAGGGCGGAAGGATCATTGACGGTGCGCATGTATGGTGGTGAGATGGTCGTATAAGAGCCCGGAGAGGAAAAACAACGGCTGGATAGCTGATAGCATTTGCGAGTTGCGACTAGTGTTATTGGCCCAAATTAAAAGGGTGATACTGTAAGTGATGAGAAGGGAGATCATATATATGCATATTGATGTAAACAGACATCAGAGTTGACCACGGTAGAAGATTTGACATTCTGTGTCTATGTACGTATTCATGATAGAAACCCTTCCATATAGTCGGAAGTTTAGTGGATTATCAAACATTGGATTGATTCTGATAGTTACCTACGGGTAATAACTACTATATAACAATAGAATATCCGTACTTAACCGTAACCGAGTTCCCTATTTTAATATTTAATTATAATAATTTTCTTTTATAACTAGGAAAGTAGCCCGCGCATTCGCGCGGGCATGTATTGTACACATGATTAAACTTTTCAGTTTAGCCGATTTTATAGGGCATCACCAAAATTTCGGTCCGAAATTTTGAACAAATTTTAGTTGAATTTGAACAAATATTACCAAAATTCATGAAAAAATAAAAAAATTTGGCCAAAATAATATCGTATCGGAGGGGTCTGAAATGGCCGAAATTTCCAACCCTGATTGTACATTGCGTTTGAAATATCTATATAAACAGAATATCAATCGGCTGACACCTATTATGTTTAAAAGTACTTTTTTTATTTGAATAAGACACATTAGGTGAAGCCTCCGCTGTTTGGCATTTTGCTTTGATAATTTTTCCAAGATATTTGTTAGGTTTAAAAATATATCATATTTAATACATCTGTATTAATAATTATCTATGATCTCTTTATTATATAGAAGGAAGTTCGATTCAGTTTGTTTGGAAAACATGTCTAACAAATCAAGTGTAAATTAGAACTAAGGTGTTTGGCCATTTTTTTAATAGAATGTTTACATGCTTTATTTTTTTACGAATTCTAAAGAACTATATTGTTAATAAATATGTTTTATTTGTACCATCAAGTAGTTCTCCTTCTAGTAGGTTTAAGTTAATGTAAGTTGTTACATACTTACATATAAATTAATAAAGACATGTCATATACCTCGCTTCCTTCTGATTTGTGCGATCTATACTATCTTTTTCAAAAGAATGTACCTAGTTAACATGAATTCAAAATTTTAAATTTAATAGTAACAAATATAACTTTTCAAAGAACTATATACTGCGAACCTTAGTGCGGTTTATATATTTAATAATATATGGAGAAAGTCATAATGCTATGATATATGATAGATGTAAGGCCATTAATGTCTAAGAATTTTAAAATTGTTATGAAAATGGAACATGCAATGGTTGGTCTAATTTTAGTGAAATGTAAGAACCCATTTTTTACGAACTTATTATATTTTCTATTACCTACTTTATTTTATATTTTATACCAGTTCAAAATATAGGCTTTTTGGATCTTTAAATCATTGTTTTAATTATAAATATAACAATATTTAGATTAGAAATAAGATGCATACCTTGCAATTTATGCATGTTTTAATATTTTTGATTACTTTTGGCTATACAAACAGGAAGGGGTAGAGTGGAGAGCTCAAGCCGAGAAGGGATGGGACGAGTAGTGCCGTGTTATACGTATGTTGGGGGGGGGAGGGCGAAGTGGAGAGGTGTTTTTTTTCTATTTTATCTAAATGATTTAAGTAAAACCGATGATCTATTTTTTTTTCTCAATTTTTTTGTTATTTTTTCTAATTTTTAAAACGTAACACATTGCGGCTTAAGATTTTCTAAAAAGTATATCTATTGGTTGAAAATAATGGATCTACATACTTAAGTGGAAACTGATGGTCAAATGATTTTTCTTCCAATTTGTAAAGTTTTGTTTTTATTTAAGGTGCAACACGTGACACCTTAAGTGCGCTCAGAGGATGTACAATGATTTACGATAATATAATACTTATTTTCATTTTGTATTATGGTCTGTCTTTTTTCTATTTGGTTACCATGCAAAAGAACGGTGTCTATGTTTAAATCACGTATTTTCATTTTTATATAGTGAAATATGGGTATCATGGATCTTAAATTATCTATTAATTATAAATAAAGCAAAAATTCAAATAAGTTAACATTATGATTTAAGAGGAAGAGAGAGTTGAAGGGAAGAGATTGCGCGTGGATATAATTTTAATAATTATTTTTACCGGGTTGTAGTGTTTTAGTTGCAATTAGTTTTTTAACTAAAAATTGAAAAACAATTTATTGATTGATTAAAATATATCATTTGTACTTGTCTTTTCCAGTATATTCACAGTAGATATTAAAAATACAAACACTACAATCTAGTAATGTTATTTTGACTTATTCTAATGTTATAATGGGGGAGTAGCTTTTTAAAGCATTCATCTGTCTTTAAATGTAAAATAATCAAATAATCTAAAGACATAAGTTTATGAAATATTAGTTGTGTGAGTTAGATGTTATAGTTGCTTATTTTTTGCATAGGTTTTGCTTTCTAACAAACATATTTTTGAAACATTACTCATAGAATATTCATTTTACTTTTATGATTGTAGACCTAATTTAATTATTATGAAGTTATGTATGATGATAAAATCTATATTATTATCATTATTTTATATGTTTTTATAATTGCTTGAAAGGCACGCAAAAGTCAGGAAATCTAAACCAAAATGGCATTTTTTTCAAAGGTAAATAGTAGTGAAATTTGGTCTTCAACTGTAAATTTAGTTATAAATAATCTAAAGATTTACGCGGATCAGAAATTAGTTGTGTGATTTAGAAGCTTAATTGTTTAACACAAAATTATTGCTTATCTAACTAATAAGGCATGAAAATAGGAGAAGGAATAGGTGAAAAGTGGAGAAATGAATTGAAGGAAGAGGAGGCGTACATACATACGTTCGTTTTTGTAAAAAAAAAAAGTAACTTATACATACATTCTTAGGTGGGCCCAGGTTTAGGAGAGGAATTTTTTCTTGAAAATTAATCTAATGGTTGTAAATAATGGGTCCACCAAATTTAATGAAAATATGTTTTGTTATTTTAGAATTTTTAATAATTTCACTAATTTATTAGAGCATCACATGGCAACTTAGGAGCGCTTGTAGGATGTCATATGGCTAATTATGAGCATTTTTTTTTGATGTTTAATGGACTTTTAGACATTTAATCTAATGTTCTAAAATATTAATCGTGTCCACCAATTTAAATGAAAATCGACAGTGATATTTATGTAAATTTATAGAGTAATATGTTTTATCATTAAATAATAGTAAATATATTTTAAATATCATCATTTTTTTACAATGGTACTAAGTACGTATGTTTTTTTTTGCTAATTGATTTTATGGTAATTCTGTGGGTAGTTTTTTTTCTTCTGACGCAAATAGTAGGTAAGCTTCATTCGTTTCTTCAGTTGTACATATGTAAGTTTTTCCCATATACATAAATACGTAATATTTAGGATAATTCTTTTATGATTTTGACCTTTCTCTTAAAAGTTTTATTTAGGACTTTTTTTTAAGTTGATTGTATATATTTGTGTTGTAAAGACCTTTGGAGCAAATAAATTCTAAACTCAAACCAATCAAAACCATGGAATCAAGTAGATATATGGATTAAAAATTATAGCAATTAACTTGAACTTATCTAACTGTTGATTCCTTTTATCTGAAATTGATTACTGTAAAATAGGAATAGAGAATAGGAGAGGAGGGTATGGGGTAGATGGACAGATTGACAGACGGACGTACGTACGTAGGAGGTGGTGGGGTAGGGGTGGGGTGGGATTTAAATTTAATCTAATAGTCTAAAATATCGGGCCCACCAATTTAAGTGAAAATAGACGGTTAGATTTAATAGAGCCACGTGGCGGCCTAGGAGCATTTGTAGGAGCACCACGTGGCGGCTTGAGAGCGTTTGTAGGGAGTTTAATGGACTTTTAGTATATAATAGATAATAGATAGAAGATAGATATGTTCTTTTATAGCTGGACACTTAATTTTATTCATGAACTAGATTTTTCTGATAATTTGAGACACAATTTTGATAAGCTGTGAGAAATATAATACCTACATTATTGGACCATATAATTTAGGGGTGTTGTATGGCCTCATATCACTGAGGACGAGTTGGGAGTATTAACTGAGCCCAAAGGACTGGATCTAATTTTATTTTAACTCTCACGCTAACCATGTATGGTGAGGAGAGAGAACGAAAAGGAGGGCGACTTCGTTTTTACGCTAGTAGAGATGGCACAAATTATCTAAATAATGTACTTACCGGTGTAGTACATCTAATAAGGGAAAAGCAAGCATCAGGATATAGCTTTGTAAAACTTTGGCAACATGACCGAAGTAAAAAAAAGAATGATCTACTGTGCAAACTCAGTCTAAGCTTTC